TTACCCAAAAAATAAATATCTGGTATTTCGATAATATAAAATTTCCAATAAATATATGGTAAAGCTCTTTAGATTTGCTTATATCCGGTATCTAATATTTTATTAACCACTATCTCAAATCTTAATCATCAATATTAGCATTACATAAATCTATGCAATTCTGTAGAAATTCTAACGTAAAGATTTCATTACTTCATATCTCATAAATATAAATAGAAAGCAAAATTAGTAAGTGGCTTGTGTAATAAATTTTATAGATTATGAAGCACGTATATAGTATTTAGTAGTATACTTTGTGTTTACCCACTAAAAGCTTGTAATGCCATCGCTACTGCCATTGTCACTGAATTTACTTGGTGAATATCGATTATACATTAGAGAGGTGCAAAATTTTATACGTATAAAGAAAAGAAAGTTAAGGTAAATGTAAAATTAGCTTATTATATATTATATAGTATGTATTACACTTTCTCTCTAATTGGTTGGATATATATTAACGGGGGCATGCCAGGGCATGGGGGTGCATACTCCAGTCCAAGGCATGCCCCCCCCAGGCATGCCTAAAAATTTTCCTGTGCCCTCCACCCTAGTGGTAGCTGTCCTGATCTTGTATATCAAATGTTTCTGACGGTTCAGGCTTTATAACATATTTTGTTACATACTTGACGAATCCTATTGTGGTGACATATTGGAAGTTGATGTGACCTTGCCAGATTAGTAGGGTTTCAGGATGGTACGGTACAATCCATCGATCTTCTTCTTTTGTTCTTCTGTATATGTATCTGAGGGACCAATTGTCTCTATATGTAGTGACTGATAGGGTTTGCGGGAATCCTTTTCTACAGGGTGAGCCGTCGAGGTTGGGACCACCGCATTTGTTAGGGAGACACCTAATTATGAGGTATTAGATGTTATTTTAACAGTTGATTGATTATTATTATTTTTATTATGATCTTACTGTTATTTTAGTATCATTATTATCATTATTACTATTCAGTTAATTTGTCAATTTAGGTCGCTTATAATATAAGGTCGCATCCTGATGTGTGTAGGTACGCGCTTGAGACACGTTGAGTATTAAAAATTATAATGCTAACCTGTGAACTTGGTATATTGTAACTAATAGGTATAGTTCTGGTTCTTGACACTGGTCTGGTAGATCGGCTCTTATGGTGTTTTTTTTGATTAATTCAGAGATTTTTACACCTGTATAAGCGAAACTGTGGGTATGTATAGTCCCTCTATTTTGAAATTCGTCTCACTCGAAATAATTTTCGAATTTACCCACTGAGTTAGTTTTTTATTTTTTCATAATTTGTTACGTACATTAGTGAGTTTGTGATTGTAAAATAAGTATACGTGTAGTGGACGATTAGTTGGTAGTGGGTCTCTGTTGTCAGTTGCTAATAGAATATCTTTCAAATGACTCCATTTATCTTCTGCCATTGTTATGGTGTAGAATATTTGTGGTAAACCATAAGATCGAATCATTGTATTTACTTGGAGTTCTTTTATTTTGAAGTAGGAAGCAGCAGTTCTTAAACTCGATCGTATGCCGGTTGTTTTCGATTCTTCGATTATCAGTCGGTTAGTGTACAGGCTTCTTTCTGTGATTAGGGGTGGTAAATAGGATTTAGTATAAGTCAAGGATGGAATAATTATGTTTTAAGATTTGAAGTTTCTGAAGTGTACTAGTACTCTATTTTATTACTTTATAGTAGTTTATTTTTTTTTTTAGCATTTTATATTTTAATTCTATTTTATTTTATTTTAATTTTTTTTAATTTTAATTTTTCTTTTTTTATTTATTTATAAGATGTTTAATAATTTTCGTTTAGTCATAATTTTTTTAGGTTTAGGATTGTAACGAAGTACTCTATGGAAAAAACAAATATCAGCGTAAACAATATTTATTAAGTGAAAATCGGTGAATACCTATAAGTTCTGCTCTTGTAGAATGGTGCTCTCATGATACATTCTTCTGACTAAGAACTCGACAGTTGTATTGGAAGTTACGTTTTTTTTCAAGGTTTAGATATGACCAGTGCGGCCAATGCCAATGCAATCTAAACCTCGGATCCGGGCAGAGCATCCTTATCTTTATGTATTTTCCATAACTCTCGTTGCTTGAATGTAGGCTAAGTTGATTGCATAAGTTAGCATAATAACCTTTTCCAGTTGAAAATAGGTCAGGAAAGATCATAGCCTCGAGGTCAGGATCGCTGTAAGGAATAAGTAATGTTAGATTATCAAGTTTTAAAAATCCAGCCATGAGTCTACTATATCTATGATCTTTGTTATGTATTTCTGTGAGGAATTCGCCATTAGGGATTACGATGTCGGGGATTGAAGCCTCGCTTCTTTGGGCGATAGGATTAAAGTTTCTCACATATTGTCTTGCCGAAGGAAAGGGAATAGGTAAAAGATCTGTCGGGGAAGGGCAGGTGATAATGGGTAGATTTTCATATTGATGAAATATTGGGCTGTTTCTTTTTAGCCAACTACAAGCTGCTGAGAGAGTTTTGTGATACTAATTTAACGGCTCGTTTAGGTTTAAAAAAGCACCTAGGTACCGGAGTATAATTCAAGTGCATGTTTATTTTTGCTCAGAAAGAAATCACCTTGTAGGAAACGATATGTTGTATAAGGATTTGAGACAGGAGTTCAGCCTAGTGAACACGTCATATGAATTGGTGAAAGGTATTTTCTATGTTTCATTGGTACTTGGTATATTTCTTGTGATACGGGTGATAAAATAGGGGGGAATCTTCTGGTCTTTGAGTTTTTACAGCTTCTACAAATAGCTACTTTAGTAGGTTTATTAGTAAAGTGACGGAGATGAATGGATACATCAGGGAATGCTATAAGTAGAGTGTAATCTTCATTAGGGTCGTATGTAATCCATTGAGTTCCTGATTTGAACATTAAGATTGAGCAGTAACAGCAAGGTATGTGAGGGTGATCCTGTAATATTTTCGAGTCAAATTCATGAAGAAGTTTTTTCAGCGATTGCGAGGGTCTCCAGGAAGGAAAGACTAATAGCTGATTGTTTGATTGGGTGTTATGGTCCGGTGAAGTAACATTATTTGTTTCTATTTGGTTTATTTCATTATGGTAAACGTAAGGACAGAATGTATTATTGTTTTTGATATTTGAATTACTTTCGATTAGGTTATCCGGGATAGTTGAGTAATCATGAATAGAATAGCGGTGCACAGTGTAATTTTTTGTTCTTCTCATGGTTTACATAGATTTCAAGGCGTACAGGTAATTTGTTTATTTATTTTTTATATATATATATTTTTTTTATTTTTTTATTTTTTTGATATTTTAGCAATTAAATTAATGGGATTTTGGACCCTTATAAATAATTTTTTGGTTCAAGTTTTGTGGTTAATTAAATGAATTTTTTTTTTATTCTAGTTTTTTGGTTATTGGTAAGTTACTTTTATTAGTTTTATAGCAGATCTGTTGAGTTTGCTTGAATATTATATTATATTAAATTGATTAATAGAAAAAATTATTTTATTTGTTTAATACGGAGTATGTATGATTGCCAATATATTTTACAAGAAAATACGCAATATGTATATAGATGTGTGTATGAAATTGGATCTTTTTATAATTAATTTATATTTCAATTTCTATATAGTTTTCTCTTATACAATTATACAGATGAGTGTATAGTTAATTTTTTTAACAATGTGCTTGCTAAGGAGTTGTGCTTACAAGGAGTCTTTTATTATAATTTAGGTTATAGGCTGGACTAAACATAAATATAATTATATACGATATGATTATATGTGTAGAGATAATATGAAGAAATGACTGTTAAGTTCAAACTTTATTTAAATACTAGATTTAAAGACCAAAGGTGATTATAGATATGTTTGATTGTATATATATATATGTATATATATATATATATATATATGTTGTACCCGGATTTGGAATCCGCCCGATTCGGAATCCGGCTGCCCCGATTCAGAATCAGGACGGCCGGATTTAGAATTCTTATACGGGGTACCCGGCTCACTATACTAATATTCTAACCTAATCCTAACCTTACTAATTATTGAACCGGGTACCCCGTATAAAAATTCTAAATCTGGCTACCCCGATTCTGAATTGGGACAGCCGGATTCTGAATCAGGCGGATTCCAATCTGGGATACGACATATATATATATATATGTATATATATATATATAACATTCATTTATATTGTTATTTTATTTTTTTTTTAGGGAGAGTCAATATTATCATGCATTGTCTCATCTTGAATGTTTGTGTTTTCTTCTGAGTGGTATTCTTCTGGACGATTTTTGGTCTGACTCATAGTGGGCTCGTTTGTTAGATCCTGTTCGATAGTGATATTTTGAGGTTCTACGGTTTCATTATTCAAGCTTAAGTTTGCTTTAAAAGTATTTTAAAAAAAAAGTTTATTTTGAATTAACGCGTTACTTAAGTTCCATAAAAGAATTATACTATGAAAGGGTAAAATTCGAACAGAAGTGATTTCTTTTTTGATAAAAGCCTATACTTAAGTAGGGTTTGTCATTATTTAAGTATGATTCAGGACTTTAATACAATCATTTCTGCCCGAGCTTCACCTTTTCATAATATAATTATTTAATAGGTAGTATATAGTTAATCAGTGCTTTATGATGCAAAGCATTATTTCATGAATGAGTTTTTAATTCAATTTTTGTTACATATTTTAATAGGTACAGTTATCTCTTTACATATCACCTCATATATAATCACATTATTTGTAATTACATTTGTATTTAGGCCAAAGTCTGTTTTAATTTGTATTTTAAAAATCTACATAAGCACAAATATTTTGGCAAGCACATTCATTTAAAGCGCTTAATTATGCGATTGCATGTGAGGATGATTGTTTTTTCAAAATATGTAAAGAATTACGAAGTCATTTGTATCATATTTTATATAATCTCATTACCAACCAAATTTGTGGATAGTATTAATCTTTAACTATCACGAATCTTAATTATGTGATTATATAAAACGCGACACAAATGGGTTCATGATTCTTCGACCTATTACCACTTTTTTTTTTTTTTTTACCTCTAACTTCGTTTACAGCAGTTTTTAATCTTTTTGCTCTATCTTGTTCTTGTTGAGCTTCTTCATTAGCTTTATTTTTTCCTTTATAATTTGAACTTTTACCAAGAGATTGGTCGAATTTTTCCACCAGTTTCTCCAATTCCTCATTTCTTCGTTTTTTATCGTTGGATAGTTGCTTATTACCATCCGATTTTGAAGTACTTTGACTGGGGTAACTCCATTTGATGACATCACAAAGGATGCACATCGATTTTTTTAATGTAACTAATTCTCCTGCTACAGAGAATATGGGATGTCATTTGGTAGCGTCAGACACAGCTGAATATCGACCCGCCGAGTTATATTTATACAAGATAGACATTGTGACTCTTGAGACGAAAAGCAGCGGTATCACCTTTTGTCGTACTTTCGTCTTGGATGTGGGCTGTAAAAACGCCAAAAGCAGGTGATATAGAAAGGTTGTGAACTATAGGAAAATTGCCCACAGTCTGAATGTGCAACGGAGTGTTTTGTTCTACCATGACCTTGAATAAATAGTGAATTTAGAATTAGATGCAGTTATATAATAAAAAAAAAGAAAAAGAGGTTTGTTAATTGATAATATTAATAAATATTTAATTGTATTTATGCTTAAAAGTTGTATTTACAAATATAATAATTTGTAGTAAATTTTCAATTTTTACATGTAATTTGTTTTGAACAAAAGCAAATCGACTGACTATCAATGATATGTCCGATTGTGAAATCTCTGCTACTAACGTAGTTTCGCCAAACCTGAATGCTTTGAACTTATACTCCACATAATCGTTAGTAGCAATTCTGTTGATAGCGGTGCCTTGGCAGCATTTAGAAGTTCCCGAAACAGTTTTAATAAACGATATAGCGCAGAAAATTGAAGACATGTTTAAGATGATTTTGTTTTATTTTTTTTTTCTTTTTTTTTCAACAGTTTAATTTATTTTATTTATTTTTTTTTTTTTTGATATTAGAGCGAGGAGATCAATGAAGGAATAGAAAAATCAGCGCGTATATATATATATTCGTATATAAGTATGTATCTCTTTATTATTTATTAGCGAGTTATTGTTAGTTAGTATTTATTTTAATTAAGAACAATCATTATTATTCGTCGAAGCCACGAAACAGATGAGGTATTTTAAATTCATTAAATTTTTCGTGATGCATAATTTATTATTTATTTTTCTATTTATTTATTAATTATAGTGATTAATTCATTCAGAATTTTTTACAATTAATAGTATTCATGTATACATTATTTATATTTTGAAACATTTGGGTTTTTTCTTGCATAGTCAATACGAAAAATCCAATTCGTTATACCTAAAGAAAACCTTGACATGAATAGCCGATTCCTCGTTTAGATGCATTTTATTCATGTAGTCAATTCGTAAGCATCTAATATTTATACTAATTTTAATTACCTCGAACGAATGTCGCATCGAGTTACTCTAAAATAGTGAATACATAAAATTACGTATGATTTTAGAACCTTGAAATCTTTTTATGCAATATTTTTTTTTTAGATATGTAGGATGAGATACGCGTCAATAAAATTTTGTAGCAGATTTCAGAATGTTTTGCTTCCGGCAGTTTCATAGTAATTACATAATTTTTTATTATAGGGTATATAATTTTAGAAGTATGGTTATTTCTAAAAAAGTAAAGTACGTATCTCGAGTGCAGCATTATTTTCAATTATAGCTAATCGAATCACTAATGCATTAAATTTATTCGGGTTATTTTTTAATTTGGTAATTGCATAGTATGCAACAAATCGAAGCATTGATTTTGTTTTGGCCACCATTCATTTAATTCAAGTATATATCTACCCGTTGTTCGACTAGTGAAAAATTTTTTGAGCGCTATCTCGCTTTTCGCAACGCTGAGAATCGATGCTTTTATCGCTAAAGCAAGCGCTAGCGCTAGCGCTAGAGAGAACCTTTTTTCACAATCGGTAGAAATTTGTGAACCCCAAAATTTCCTAAAAAGGTTTAAACAAAGAAAATCAATTACCAAAAGCAAACGATAAAACCATCAGAAATTTACTAATAAAGCTTTAGAGAGTTGCACAAAACGCTAGTAATTTATTCTAAGCGCTAATAAGTTATACCCAATTTACTATATACACCAAACTGATACCGATACGTATGTACGTACGTACGTATGTACATTTTCCAGATGCTGTGTGAGATTTAATAAGATCGCGTGACAACCTCTTTATGGTCGCGTGATCTGCTATATTATTCAGCGTTAGCATTTTTTTAGGGTCAGAACAGCAGATGATAAGAGGTGTTGAAACAATAAAGTGAAAGTGAGATTACATCATCACTCTTCTAGAGTCCGATAAATACTGTATTATGTGGAGTAAAATACCCCTTAGCATAAGATTAGCATAAGATTAGCATAATAACCCTACTTACTTTTGATGTAAAAGATTATCATCTAATGATTAAATACGAATTTTTGTTTATTTCGTCAATCATGCTTTATGATAAACTTTTTTTTCGAAGCACAAAAATGTATATAAATTGATCTTTCAAAATAATTTTATTCAACTCATTAAAAAGATGCAACTTCATATAAAATTTTATATATCTATCATATTCATTACCATTTACATTCTACAAATTATTTCATCATCACGCTCATTTGTGATCATTACATATGTTGTCAAAGAAATGGAGAAAGACAAGAAAATTGACAAAACTTTTACCAAATATTGTACGTACCCTGGTGGAGTACCTGAAACCACAAGGAGGTTTCGAAAAAAATATTATCCTAAGACTTATTTGGAAGCAATCGACAATGTTTAAATACAGCAAATACCGTCGATGAAATTTGAAGATATAAATCTTTTTACGTTTCATCAATTCAATTGAGAAATATCATTGGTATTAGAATTGTCGTTAGTATTAGAATACTGTTGAACTTGATCTACACTATATTTTTTAAATTATCACAAGTTAAAAGTATGTATAAGTCGTATTGTTTTTAGCTGACAATTTCTAAAGGTAATTTCATAGGCAGGGCATAAAAAGAGCATGTCAAATTATATATCTTATTTGTAATTTGTTTTCCAATCTTACGATTTAGTGTAGATATCAAATTTTTTTTAAAAACTGATATTAAAAAATTATATTTTATTATTAAAAAATATATATGTTAACCAATTATAATCTAATAAATCTTGGCTCTTTCAGATTTGTTACAGTATTTAGAAGATTGAAAGAAAAATTTTCAATCGAAGAGGTTATCGCTACGTATAACAACGACAATTTGTACTTGCATAATCAATCACGATTGGCTGATTATGCCGATACAAATGTGACGATGTAAAATGAAAAAGGTATCTTAATATATAGTTAGTCACTCATGTTATTTGTCTATATGCTACGTATTTTTTCTACCGAATATATTCTGTTACTTTACTGATCTTTACTTAAATCGTCATTTCGATTTCTTTTACTTTTTTCTTCGCCTGGCAAGTGGATTCAAACCAAAAAACTTCCAAGTTTGCATAATGATACGTAGGGTGCATGTTTCATAGCGATAGGGACAAGTTTCGAAAAAAGTACGTACGTACGTACTTAATTTAATTTAACGTCAACACTAACGAATTATGTAACACGATTCTATTTTTAGGTAAGTTCGTTCACCTGGCACGTCTAATGATACGTATATGCTTGTATGTGCTTGAAAGGTACATACGTACATTTATCACAAATTGTTTTAACAATATAAAGACAAGACTTGATGCATTCAGAAAGCCCATACCTTCAATCTGAAACAAAAAGGTTATTATAACCTTATTATGGTAATAGTTCGGGAAGTCGTAGTAAAACTTGAGACTAGCGCTTGGGGCCAGGGCTAAAACGACACATAGTAAATGCCTGCCATTCAATAAGTGTCATTCTTGATTCACATTATATTATAATTTTGATGCAGTATCAAGAAAGATACTTTAAACAATAAGCAATGGCGCAGTAAATGGCTGACATTTACTATGTGTCGTTTTAGCCCTGCTTGGGGCCACTTGGGGCCGGTCTGGGTTGGATATTTCGAAGTCCAGATCCAGTCCATATTTTACTCGATAGATCCAAGCTCGGCATTCTAAAAAAAAATAAAATAAAAAGCCAATATTATTAATCCGGACTATTGATGCTGGAAACTGGTGAAGCTCTTGGTGAAACTGGTGAAACTGGTGAAATTTAATATAACAACCAATCAGATTTTAGATAGTCACCAGTTTCACCAGCATCTATAATCCGGACATTTTTGGGCAAAAAAAATGTCCGGTTTAATAATATTAGCCTTTTCTTTTTAGAATTATCCGGGTCCTGGTACAATCCATGGATCCAAATTGCATAAACTGTAAAAATGCTCATTTATTAAAATAAGCCCGAGTTCGTAATTTTGATGTCAATGATAAGGTGACATCTATAATTTTGGCCAATCAGATTAAATATGAATCGTATGTACAGTACGTATTTTGTAACAAATTTTCAGATAACAATCGCTGAATAACCCACCGAATCGTTTATTTAAAAAAAAAAAAAATGCGATTTATGCAAAATCATTGTACAGTGAGAATAATACAATTAATTAAATAACTATTATTAAATATTCTATATTTCTACATATAATGATTTTTTTGGTTTTTTTTTTTGTCATTACTAAATACAACAATTACAGCATGACTAGCTTATTTATATAATATATATAATATATATGATATATATCAATATTACTTATTGATTATTATTAGCTATTTGCATTACTAATTTCACGTTTGTTGATAATATCTAAAAAGAAAAACGCGATTAAATAAATAATTAACAAGAATGAAAAACGCGATTAGGTACATAAACAATTAGCCATAAAGAAAACCACTTACTTCTTGGAATTTATTATCCAATTCATTCTTTTCATTTTGTAATTTTTCACGTTCAGCTTCTGATGTTTGAAGTAACTTATCCAATTCTATTATCTTTTTCTCTAAAGCTGCTATTTTCTTTGCTTCTCCACGATCACTTATTCGTGCGCGTTGTTTCTTTTCCAATGATTCTATACGCGTTTGTATCATTGCTGAAAGATTATTAATTTCTTCTTCATGTTGTTGTTGAAGTTTTTGTATTTCAATTTTATGCTCTTGTAAAAGTTGTTCTTTTTGTTCTTCTGCCTTTGAAATTAATTGTTCTAATAGTTTAAATCTTGTTCCTGTTTTATTTCTTTCCTCACGTTCATCGGCCAATTTCTTTCTTAGTTCTCTTATTTCTATTTCTTTGTCTTTGTCAATTAGCTCCTTTTCTTCTTCCATTACTTGATTATCTTGGTTTTCTTGTTTTTCAACCAATTTCTTAAGTTCTGCTGCTTTCCTTTGTAGCATTTCATTATCATTCATAGCATTACCAAGCTTACATTGGAGATCACTTAATTGCGTGTTTGTTCTATGCGTTTCAAGTTCGGTTTCTCGTAATTTTATTTCTATTTTTT